TACCTCGACTTGAGACCAACTCGAGTTGCAACCAGAGTCACGGAACGGATTAAGTTCGTAACTAGAGGTACCACTGTAGAGACCTACTTCAAAGGGAATAATGTTCTTACCAGTAGAAGAGTGTGTTCATTGTCCAAATCAAACATTGTAGCAAGAACTACATACAGCAAGAAGTACAAATTAGAACATGGTTAAAAGTAGAATACAAGACATTCCAGGTTGGGGCTGTCACAGAAAGCTGCTTCAACACTCAGGTGGAACCTTAAATACCGGAAGCTCTCAGCCTCTACCAGAGCAAAGCTGGTAAATCCTGATTTCCAGTATCAGGCTGTTCTCAAATAGCACTGGCTGTGGTAGATGTTTCTCTGACAACCAAATATGCTTCTATCTCCCTGCTTTCTGACTCTTCACATGGAGAAGATTGTGTTGTTCCACAGACTATGAAGATAAACTTGCCAGGAACAGTGCAGGCCTGAGGTGAATTCATACCACCATGCTAGGGCTGGGACTTTGTAGGCCTAGTCAGACGGTCATATTCAAGAGCAATCCATTTGTCCTTAAGCTCTTACAATCCATGGAGTATCAAAGGCTGCCCAATAAAACAGGAAAGGATGGCAGGAGAAGTGGGAATAGATGGTCTTTTTTCCATCAGTGTAAGATGTTCTTCTCAAATTAAATTGTGTGCACTTCTGGCTAAATCCTTTATGCTATATACTCTCTATATTTAGTAAATATGTGCTTATTGTTCATAATTGTAAAGTATGAACATGTTGTTGATCAAGGTATTCAGAAGCACTTGCTAGCACAAGAATCCTCAAACACAGTCCTGAATCTAGCAGTGGAAAATGTGGAGAAAATCTAGCATGGGCTTCATACAATCAGTCAGGTAAGATAAATGTTTGTTCCCATATATGAAATGCTCTATTAACCCTTTTACTGTAAAGAACAAATCCTGCTATATAGTGTAATCTTTAGATAGCACATATGGACAGAACTCCAATTAATAAATCTAGTTAAAGGCTGTACTCAACAGCTTGTTAATCTTTCATGGACATTGTACCCTATCTAGAGTTCTAAATGTGATGCAGTGAAAGCTCCTAGGTGAATTTTCTCACATGCTCCATCAAGGAAACAGCTCTATGTATACATTCATTTATATACATTCATTTTATTCTCATGGAACAAGATAGCTGAACTCCTATAAGGCAGAGAAAATCAGGACACATTCAAGTTTGTTGGACTGTAGCCAATGGAGGTAGCATATAGAAGGAATGCTGAAGTGTGTCATGCAAGAAAATCCCTTTTTTAAGTCTTTGGAAAAGAGGAATATGCATTGTGGAGAAGATTCTCAAGCTTCTTTTCTAAAAGGAGCTTCAACATTATAATTATATATTTATAATTAAAGGACTATAATTAATTTTAGTCCTTTCCTACCTATGTGAACTCAATGTCACTGGTCTGAGATGGGTGGCTGTATAAAATGAATGAATGAATGAATGAATGAATGAATGAATGAATGAATGAATGAATGAAAGAAATTTGAACTTTCCTCAAACCTGGCCTGTTGACATCCCCTCTCTTCCTTTTCCTGTCCTGATATTTCATCCCACTCCTTTCTTGAGCAAATCAACCTTTCTGATTTGCTTGTGTTCATCCATAAACCTGACTTATTTATATATCAATCTGCAGACTTTTTAAAATTCATGTTTAAATATATATCCCCAAAATTT